TATGTGGTGGTGTGTATGTGGTGGTGTGTGTGGTGGTGTGTATGTGGTGGTGTGTGTGGTGGTGGTGTGTATGTGGTGGTGTGTGTGGTGGTGGTGTGTATGTGGTGGTGTGTGTGTGTGATGGTGTGTGTGGTGGTGGTGTGTGTGTGTTGGTGGTGTGTGTGTGGTGGCGTGTGTGGTGGTGGTGTGTGCGTGGTGGTGGTGTGTGGTGGTGATGTGGTGTGTGTGTGGTGTGTGTGTGTTGGTGTGTGGTGGTGATGTGGTGTGTGTGTGTGCTCACACGTGCATACTGAGGACACACCAAAGCAGGCTGCCGAGCCTCTGGGGCCAGGGAGACGTGGTCACACTCAGAAGGAGGGGCAGCCTGGCCTCGCGGCCCCAGGCCGTCCACAGCTCCCGGCGGGCGGCTGCCAAGCACGTTCTCTGGGAGTCTGCGGCTCCCCGGTCCCCGGTGCAGCGAAAGGCCACGTTCGGAGTGCAGCCTGTACCTCCTCCACGGGCCTTCGGGCGGCAGAGGGCGTGGGGGCGTCAGCTAGTCCGGGGGTCTCCTCGGGCCTCCTCTCAGGCTTTCGGACGAGGTGACCGAGTGTGTGGCCTGAACAGTCAGAGGTGCCCAGGGAGCCTTGCCCGGGGCAGCACTGAGCCGAGGGTCGTGTCCAGCATGCTCACCCCCCACCTGCTCCACCCACTTCACCACGGACACCGCCGTCGCGTCCGGGTGTTCGCGTCTCAGAGGCTGTGTTTGCGGCGTCCTCTGGAAGAGCAGCTGGGAGCGGCTCTGGTCACAGCCGCGGAGCACAGAGCAGAAAGCCACGCACTGAAGGGAAAGGGCAGGAGGGGAAGGAGAGGAAAACAGTGAAAAAGAGAAACGTGGATTTAAATCTAAAGTCTGACTGTTGGGGAAGGAAAACACCGTCTCTGCTTTGGACTGGATGCCTTCCTGCTCCGATGAGAAGTCTTGTTTGGGTTATTCCTTTGCGTGCGGACTGGCAAAGTCAGGAACTGACGAGGTCGTTAGCCTTTTTGGGGCATTTAATGGAAGTCTGCCCTTAACTGGTTGGCCTCAGAGACTGCATTTGGGACACTGTGCCTTTTTTTTTTTTTTAACTGAGCTATTGTTCTCTCCCTGAAATGTTCTGGAATCTTTTCCCAAGTTGTATTTTGTTCGTCGCAAATTTAGACGCTCCGCCCTCCGGTGCCCTGGGCCTCGGCCTCCCTGCCGCCTCTCTGAGCGGCTAACAAAGGCGGTGGTTTAAAGAACCAGCCGTCGGTGACGTCGCGAGCTCCGGTCTCAGAGGAGGCTCAGTGACAGTTTGAAGTGGACCCACCCCAGGGACAGGGCAGTGATGAGTCATGAGCACCCAGAGTGAGTCAGGACACCTGGTTTCTGGGTCCCTGACCACGTTGTGACCTCGACTAGCTCCCTCTTTCTCCGAGTATCGGTTTCCTTGTCTCCACAAGGAGGAGTTGCAGTGGGTGGGCCCTCAGCTTCGATGACCTTGATTGCTATTTTTGCTATTTTTTGGCTATTCTTCAAGTCATTTGCTATTCTTTGCTATTTTTCAAGTCACGTTGAGGTCACCGCCTTTCACTCCTACCAAGAAAAGACTGGGTTTGGTGCATACATGGCCATGTTTTGTTTTACTTAATTTTTTAAACTCTTATATTTTGTTTATGTTGTGCATAAGTAATGCATCGCATAGGAGAACTTCAGACCGGAGAAGAAAAGGAAGCGCTCCCCTCCCCCACGCCCAGCTCCTCTCCAGAGGCTGTTGCTAGTTCCTTGAGTAGCCCTTCTGCAGAGATTTGCTGCATGTGCGTGTAACCCTCTCCTTTTCTAACTGCAGATGGGCGCGTGCTCATATCTAGAGTTCTGACCCATGGGTTCCCCCCTCCGAACAATGTGCCTTGGAGATTGTTCCGTAAAAGTATCTGCAGAGTCTCTCATCCTCTGCAGTAGTTCACGCAGAATTCCTCCCACTGGGGGACAGGTTTTATGTTTTCCTTTTAAAAAATTCCTTTATGGATTATTAGAGACAGGGAGAGAGAGATGGAAACATCGATGAGAGAGAACATCGATGGGCTGCCTCCTGCACGCCCCCCACTGGGGATCAGCCCCACAACCTGGGCGTGTGCCCTGACCGGGAATCGAACCAGCGACCTCTTGGTGCAGGGTCGACGCTCCACCACGGAGCCACACCGGCCAGGCTGGTGGACAGGCCTTCGTCCTTCACTGTTATAGACCAGACTACAGTAAATGGCCTCATACAGAATTACTAGTTTTTGGTGCCTTCCTTTGAAGACAAAGCCATGGTCCAAGGTGCTCTCTTTTTCAGTCTCCATGGAGACGCCTTGCCTGAAGGGTCAAATCTAAATCAAGCAGGAGAACCAGCGTCCCCACCTTCCTCCCTCGGCGGCTGGGTGAGGGCTGGTGCTTGGAGACTGCGGGCCTGCGGCTCTGGATGACCTGCGCCCCCAGTCTCCAGTCCCCCAGTAAGGACACACGTCACTCCAGTATGCAGAGCAGTGTCTGTGTGCCATGTGGAGTCCGCAGAGAGTGAGTCCGTGGAGTAAACCAGGGCAGGCTCTTGCACACTCAGGCGTTTGCACACTCGCCGAGTCTTCCCAGGCCACTGAAGACAGTGCTGCTCCCATATTTCTGTCACGCCAATGACTTACCAGACCTGACTCAATGTTTTGAAAAGTTGTCAAAATCTCTGAGCTATAAAAATGAACAGTTAATAACCTCTGAACTACCACCACCACCAACAACAAAAAACCCCTAATCTTTACAAGCCTCTTTTTCCTGACCCCTGAAGGTTTCTGATCTTGGAAACAGTCCGGTTACACATTTCTCGTCTAGCCACAATTGGGCATCTTTTTGTTGGTTACAGCAGAAAAATGGGAGCATCATGTCTTCAGGAGGTTCAGAAACCACTGTCCCTGGAAATAAGTACCAGCCCCTGGGCCTGCAAGAGGCCTAACGAGCCGCCCCCTTGCGGGGGTCTGGACTTTGTCGCACTGGGATCTGCTGAAAGCTCGTTTTCCTCGGGCCGCCACCTCAGCCCCTCGGAGGGAGATTGCGATCATGCTCTGACACGCTACGCAAATGAAACACTGATCCATTATTTTGCCATCAGTTGACTTCCTTTCATCTGTTTTCAAGCTCACAACATAAGAAATGCCCAGGTGCTTTTATTCATTCATCGCCTCACGTACTCGGTGTGCCAGGGATGGGGCCTGGCGGGGGCGTTCTTTGTGGTGGGCTTTTTTCCTTTCCTTTGGTACGTGCCCCTAGCGGGGGCCACACCCAGGACTCTCTGGTCTGCAGGCTGACGCTCCAACCGCTGAGCCAAACCGGCCAGGGCGTGTGGTGGGCTTTGTTCCGCGAGGGAACGCGGAACCTGTGCACAGACGGCTCCACGGACTCTTCCCTGTCCCCGCAGCCGCTCGTGACGGAGCAGGAGCCGTCCGTCTAGCCACACCCTCCTTGGGACCGTCCTGTTGGTAGCCTGGACGACCTCTGGGCCCAGGCCCAGTCCTGATGACCTGCTACTTCCTCACGACCAAAGGCAAACTGGGTCAGAGGTGGCTCTCCGTTTGAGCAGTGGTCCCTGGTCTCCAGTCGAAGGCGAGGGGAGGACAGCCAGGGCAGCGGAAGGAGCAGGTGACTGGGTCTCAGGGGCACCTTGGGCTGCAGTCGCCACTAGTCAGAGCACATCCTTCCCCGCTCCGGGTGACCGTCTTCTCCATAAGGTGAGGTGACGGGCAGATACTCTCCGAGGTTCCTCACCAGCCTACCGTTTCAGCGTTCCGGCCGCAGTAAAATCCCACCTCCTTTCTCCCCACGTTTCTTCCAACACCTGTGCGTTCCTGTGAGGGGAGGAGCTGTTTATTCCAAGTACACCCGGTGCCTGGTCCACAGTGGGGCTGCAGTAAAGATTTGAGGAGTGTATCCAATTTTTAAAAAAAGGAATGACTTGCCTCCCTCTCTCCTCCAACGGGAGGAAGTTCTTGCCATGAAATTAATTGTTCCTTAAGGAAACCAATCCTGTGTGTGTGCGTGTGTGTGTGTGTGTGTGTGTGTGAGAGAGAGAGAGAGAGAGAGAGAGAGAGAGAGAGTTGTCTTTGGCCCTGACCCAGGAGCAAATAGACTGAAAAGCATTATCATAGGTTATCGCTCAGGTAGCATTTAAATAGATTTGACTGGTAAACTTGTTTTGAGAAAAACTGGTGCTTTTTAAAATGCATTTTTGTGAGAATGCCAATGATAGAATTTATTAGGGGATGTCCCCGTTGATTTCTAAAGTACGACATGCTAAAATTTCGAATGTTGGTAAATGCAGAGACGTGGAAAATCCTTAACAAGCTTAAAGTGCTTCTGGTGCCTGCATCCAATCACAAGCATGGTTAACATTTTCGTGTAATTTCTTTATCGCTAAGTTTTCTCTGCAAAAACGGAAACGTTTCTTTCTCCACCAGTTATTTGTTCCTGAGCTTATCATGGTTCTTTGGGGCACCCTTTGAAACAGAGCACTGATGGGGTCCTGCCTGCGGGCAGCCCCTGGTCCAGGGGGTGTGTTTGCTGCCGCTGTCGCTCAGTTGCCCAGGGGTCGGGACGTGCCCAGCCTGGGCTGGCGCACCTGCTTCTTCCGGGCGCCAGGTGTCCCGGTGAAATGATCTCCTAGGTTGTGCGAACCTTTGCAGAATTTGCTTTTGACCACTGTGTTCTAGGAAAGGCTTACAATGTCCTCGAGACCCAGGGAAGGTGTGGAATAAGGTTTTAATCAGGGCACAGAAGCCGAGACTAAAGGAGTCAGGAGTGGGGCCAGTATCCGAGTCTCCGTGAATTGAATGAAGGTAATCATGACCTAAACAGTACTGATTGACAGGAAGGCGCTCTGAAAGGGACCTGGGAATCTCTGCGCCGAAGCACAGACATTGTACCGGTTTCTTTTTGATGAGGTATCGTCCCTGATCTCTGTTCCTCCCTCCCGCAGTGATGAATCACCAGCACCAGCAGCAGATGGCGCCCAGCACCCTGAGCCAGCAGAACCACGCTACTCAGAACCCACCAGCCGGGCTCCTGAGCATGCCCAATGCCCTGACCACTCAACAGCAGCAACAGCAGAAGCTTCGGCTGCAGAGGATCCAGATGGAGAGAGAGAGGATTCGAATGCGCCAAGAGGAGCTCATGAGGCAGGTACGGCCTTCCAAGGTGCCCGGTGGGCCTCCGTGGCCTTTGTTGCCAAAGCAATTGGAAAGGGAGCTGCTAGCCATCGGGGTGAATCTTTCTGTAGAAGCGTTAAAGCCCTAGGCCCTGCCCCAGACCTCACGAGGAGACTCCGTTTCTTCTCCCAGTCTCTGCCTGCACTGTCTGCGGAGCCCCCGGAGAGCAAGGACTAGCTACACCACATGGCTGCCTTTGGCTCCCCGCGCTAGTCTTAGGAGGAGAGAAAGAACATGTTCCAGTGATCTGCTGCTGTGTAACAAATCGGCCTGAAATTCAGTGACTTGAAACAGTAGCCATTTTATTATATCGCCTTTGGCGGGTCTGGAATTCGGGCAGGGCTCAGCTGGATGGCGTTCGGGCTCTACATGGTGTCAACCGAGGGCACTTAGTGGTGTCAGCTGGTGGGCAGGTGGTCTGGAGGGTCCAAGATGGTGTTGCCGGAGTGTGAGGCACCACGACCAGGATTGCTGGGGGGGTTGTGCTTAGCTGGCGTGTCTCGCACCGCGATCCCAGAGTGATGGGCGTGTAACATAGCTGCGTGGATCTCCCGAGAGAATGTGCCAGGAGACAGGAGGTGGCATGGCCAGTGTCCTAGGGCCAGGCACAGGAAACTGTTCCAGAGCCACCTGCCATCTTCTCTCCATCAGAGCGGTCACAGAGCTCCTCCCCCACAGGTCTGAGCAGATAGCAGAGGGGGATGTTCTGCAGAAGAAATTACAAAGAATCCACAGCCATATTTGATCTGTCCTGGAGCATGAAAAAGAGGGAACGTTGAGGGAGAGTGTGAAAGAAAAATGGTTTGCCTGTGGACTCGAGTAGAGCAGTCTGTGAATGACCTGGGGTTGATCGGGCACCTTTGTGCTGTGCATCATTCGTTCGTTCATTAGTTCGTCCATCCATCCATCCATCCATCCATCCATCCATCCACCATCCGTCCATCTATCCATCCATCCATCCATCCATCCTCCATCGATTCATTCATTCATTCATTCATCCACCATCCATCCGTCCGTCCATCCATCCATCCATCCATCCATCCATCCATCCACCATCCATTCATCCATCCACCAGTCCATCCATCCATCCATCCATCCGTCCATCCATCCATCCATCCATCCATCCATCCATTTGTCCATCCATCCATCTAGGCAACAGGACATGGCTGTGTGCTCTGGGTCAGGCTCAGTGCTGTGCCTCAAAAACGGAATAAAGAGGATCCCTGAAGGACCCTGTTTTTTTCCTGCGTCACGGCTGGGCCAGTGTAAGAGCAGATGTGTCCCTTCTGAGTCGCCTTACTAACAGAGCACATGTTTTTGAGTCTCATAAATTTTGCATTTGGGGGAGGGAAGCTTCAGTTCAGTGTTCTAATTCTTTAGAATTTGCTTTATGACTCCTATGAAGCCAGGTACATGGATAACATCCTTTCCCTGGTTTTTAAGGAAATCAGTAGTGTTTTTTTTTAATCCTTACCCAAGGATATTTTTTATTTATATTCAGACAGAGTGGGAGGGAGAAAAAGGGAGAAAAAGGGAGAGAGAAACATCAACATGAGAGGGACACATTGACTGGTTGCCTCCTGCAGGACCCCGACCAGGGCGGGGATGAACCGTAACTGAGGTACGTGCCCTTGGCTAGAATCGAACTCAAGAGTCTTTGGTCCGAAGGCCGACACTCTAACCACTGAGCCAAACTGGCCAGGGCAGGAAATAAGTAGTTTGAACGGTTTTTGAGACCTTTCTTGCAGGGAGCTAAGGACATTAGGGTAAACCCTTTATTATTATTTTTTATTTACAACTGATACATTAAATATATATTGACTTAACATAAATGAATAATGTACTTCTCATCAAGTAAATTCTAAGATACAAAGTATCTATGCTGTGTAATGTTTTAAAAACATGGCGAATTAAAGGAATTCCTCAGAGAGAGCCTTTGAAAATGAGGGAAATGAATATATATTGTGCCTTATTCATTTGAACTATCCCCTCGATTTGAGGGATACAACTTCACAACATAACTACAGTTGTGTCTTTTACCCTGAAGATTTAGGACTGAACTCCATGGTTATTTCTGGGTAACAGTTGTTTATAGATAAACAGTATCATGTTTCTCAGCAGGAAACACTTATATTATTGTTTTCTGTCTTTGGATAATTCCATTTGGAGTAATTTTTTTTATCTGATCATGTAGAGTAAATTAAGCAGAATTACTCTAGTAACATTTGTAAGTTTCCTCTTAGTTTTTTATTTAAATGAGCTTGAATGGGATTTTCTTCCTTGGGCATAGCCATAACCGTTCTGCAGAGAAAGGCTGGTTTCTTCGTTTCTGCCTCGTTCTGGGTTTCTCTCTCCCTGGTCCCACCTCCTTCTTTCCCACAGAAAGTATTTCTGCAGAGGGGTGGGGAAAAGTGCCCCACATTGTTTCCTCTATTCCAATCGTAAGTGCCTTTGAACCAGAATGTGCTATTGATGGTTCCTATTACAGAAATGCCAACCAAGTTCCTGAAATGCTGATCCCCAGAGACTATGGCATTTGGTGCCTTTTGCTGCCTCATGGCGAGCATGCCACTGGGTAGGGCACTGGGGAGGAAGCTGTGTCCAGATCTGCACAGAGGCTCACACAGTGCAGCCTTGACCGTGTGTGTGTGGTGTGTGTGTGTGTAGTTAGGAGCAGGAGGCGGAATGGAGGGTTGATGTCTCATTCTCTTTACTATGGCATACAGGATAAAAAGCCCGAAGACACTGTAGTGGTGGGAGACTTTGTTCCTTACCCAGAAGCAACCAGCTCCTTTGTGCCAGAGACTTCTTAGGGCCATAGAAGAGATGGTGTTGCCCTGGCCAGTTTGGCTCAGCGGTTAGAGCGTCGGCCTGCGGTCCGGAGAGACCCGGGTTCGGTTCCCGCTAAGGGCACGTACTTCGGTTGCAGTTTGTCCCCGGCCCTGGTTGGTCGTGCGGGTGGCAGCCACTCGATGTGTCCCTTCACATCGATGTTTCTCTCTCTCTCTCCCTCCCACTCTATCTGTACAAAAAATGGAAAAATATCCTCAGGTGAGGATTAAAAAAAAAAGAAGAGATGGTGTTGGCGTGTTCTGTGATGGTTTTCTGGGCCTTTTGCCAGGATGCCTGATTGCTCCGGTGTGGATCACGTCTGTCATCTTCGCGGTTTTTCTACTTGTTTGTTTTGGTGATTTCCCTGCTTCACTGTTTGCACCTAAGCCAGGGCAGAGGCAGGGGATGGCTTGGCAGTGAAGGTGATGTTTGCCTCACCTGGTAGCTCGCTGCTGCCTTCCAGCGTCTGGTAGAGAGGGAGAGGGTTGGAGGACACGGGAAGTCCTGCTGAAGTCGGAAGGTGATCTGTGGACTGTTCATTCTGCTCCACTGCAATGGCCTGGGTATCAACGGCCGCCCGAGTATCCTCAGCTCCCTGGGCAGCTCGCGATGCCCCTGCTGTCTCAGGCTTGCAGGACGGCCCTGTTACGTAGCACGTAGCCTGTGTCCAGGGTCCCAGCCCTGCGGGCAGGCCTCTAACTGCACGCAGTTCTCTCCAGGGAGAACTTCCCACGCGCTGTCTGTGTTAGGACGGGACACCGGCACATTTAATAAGTAGATGAATTAATTCCCTAATTCTTGGGAAATCACTACTCTGTATATTTTTATTCTTCTTAACTATATGACAAATGTGAAAGCTGTGTATAAATTCTGTGCTATGTAAATATTCTGTTTCTTCTTCCCCTTCTTTTTAATCCCCATTCTCTCCTTGCTTCTTGCTTCTGTGGCGTTAATCCTCCAGGCATACGGTCTGACGATGTCGTGCCGTGGAGAAAACCACTGCTTGGTCCTCGTCGCACAATCTGATGTGCACCTCACAACGCCAAGGGCTCGAATGTTAACTCGCTGTCGCTGAAATCATGTCAGGATATTAACAAAAGGGATCGGAAGAAAGTTTGATTGCAGATCCCAACGGCACCACCATTATTTCATGATGGAAAAATATTTTTCATTCTTTCTTTTATCTCCTCATTCCTTTCTTCAACCCACATTTATATAGTGGAAAATAATAAATGGGACATGGCTTCCCTTAGGTAACTTCTGTTTTAGCAGAGGAGATAAAAGGATTAAATCTAATTGTTGGCCAGAGGAGTGAATTCAAAGTCTTCTCTACGTTATGGGGCTCAGGTGGCTGCCATCTGTGACCCTCGTTACTGGAACAGGGACCAGACACCCCGAGCGCAGAGTTCTGTGAAACTGAGCGGAAAATGCTTCTTTGTTTTTTTTCTGTGGCCCCTCAAGCCAGTAAGTTGTTGAACAGCTACAGAGTTGGGATCAGAGGGCCAGCGGGGTCTTCTGTCCCCCCGGCCAGGAGCCGTCAGAAGCAGGAGAGTTGCATTTAAAATGGCTTCTACAATTTAGCACTGGCTGCTGTAGCAAGGGTTGAACTACTTGTATCTGATCATCGATGAATCATCTCGGAATGTGCCAGGTGCTCGGCGTGGAGGGAGCCCGAGTGCCGGGGCAGGGACCCCAGACCTACCTTGTTAGGGATGTTTTCAGTAGGCAGCTGCGACCGACATTGCGGAGAGGGACGTTTTGTGAAAGAGCTTCCCCATGGGCCCTGGTAATGAGGGTTTAATTTTCGCTGAATTTCCCCGAAGGCTGTGAGGCAGATTGGGGTCCACCGGAGAAATGGCAGCCCTAGAAAAGAGCAGTTTCATTTTTCTTTTTTTAAATCCTCACCCAAGGATATTTTTTCATTTATCTTTAGATAGAGTGGGAGAGAGGGAGAGAGAGACAGCGATTGGTTGCCTCCCACATGCCCTTGACGGGAATCAAACCCGCGGCCCTCTGGTCCATGGGCTGATGCTCTAACTGCTGAGCCAAACCGGCCAGGGGGAGAGCAATTTCAGCTGAAGTTGTGCTTCCTGGTATCTTCATAGTTAAAAAAAAGAGAAAGAAATCAGAATTGAGTTTGTG